TCACGATCTAATGGAGAAGATTTGTTCGTATTTTCAAAGCGGTTATTGAAGTACAAGAAATGCCTTACGAACAACTTATGCATCGCATTTTACGATTTTTATTAACTTATAAAAATACACAACATTCAACGACCGGTTATTCACCAACGCAACTGATGATAGGAAGACGTCTTATGTCTATGTTTAGGATGCTATGTTAAAAATAATAATGTTAAAAACATAATGTTAAAAAGTCACAAGAAAAGCAGGCAAACGTTGGAACTGGTAATCGAAATTTTTAGCCTGTAGACAGAGTCTGGGTTAGAAAATTTCGACTGAATAAAACAACTTGGGTACCTGGAATCGTTCTACATAAGTTGGCAAATGGAAAACCTACATAGTTCAAGTTGATGGGTATGAAAAACCATGGAAACGACACGTGGACCATCTGTTGAGTCGCGATTCAACAGATGGTCCACGTGTCGAATGAGACAGTTCAGCAACCAAGAGTAGTGTATTATTGGTGATTTATATTTGAAGAATTGTTATTGACCTTACCAGCTCCGTTAAAATGTTGATAAACTTTTTTGATAAACGCAACTAAGTATTTTTTTTTATTTCTAAGGCGGACTCAATGAATTATATTAATATTCAATTTGAAAAAAACTAGAATAATATTGAACTTAGTGATTTAAATTTTTGCAGGTAATACGAAGTTCACTGGGTCAACTAGTTTGATATATATCAATCAATCAATCTTCGTTTTGCGTCAAGAGACCCGGTTTCCCGAGGTAGGACGTTGTTTTCTTTGCCATCAACTTTTTGCGCCAAATTAGACGATCAGTTGTATCCATTTCATTTAAATTTAGAGCTTTCATGTCTTGCTCGATTGTTTGCGACCATGACTTCTTTGGACGGCCTTTGGGACGTGTGCCAGGTACTTTAACATCTGCAAGAGAAATTATGGCACTGTTTCCACTTCGTTTGACATGACCAAACGACCGCAGACGGTGTTGCCGGCATTCGTCCTTTATATCATCTAAACCAGCACGACGCTGGATTTGGGTAGATTTGATGTGGTCCTTCAGACTAATTATAAGTATGGAAACAATGAATAACTCGTTGAAAACCTATGAACGAAGTTATAATAACGAATAATAACGAGCGTAAATGCAATACAACGGAGTTTTCCAAGCAATGAGTCTAATACTGCTTGCTCAGCGTGTGTGGAGAATAAAAAATTTTAAATATTTTTGTGATGTTTGTTTGAAAATGTATGATAGAAGCTTGAAAGTGAATGTCTGAATGACGTCTCTGGTAAGTGGAAAAACATCACATGAAACTACATGTACATCCCTTGATATTACATTAGCTTAAATTTAAATTAAAAAATATTAGTAGAAAATAAAAATCATAAGAAAAATAAAAGTTATGAATAGAAATTATAAACTAAGATTGTTTACTAAACGTTTGATATGTACTAAAATTAAAAAGGATGGTGTTAGAGATGTTGTCAAATGTTGTGTCTGAGATGCTTTTGCTGCTCATGTTAAAAGTTCGAATGTGCTTGTTAATCTTGCTCAGCGTGTGTGGAGAATAAAAAACTTTAAATATTTTGTGATGTTTGTTTGAAAATGTATGATAGAAGCTTGAAAGTAAATGAGTGAATGTCTGAATGACGTCTCTGGTAAGTGGAAAAACATCACATGAAACTACTGCTGATATTTAGAAGTTATCTGACATAAATGAGCAGATCAAAGCTGATATTCAGTTAGCTTAACAGGTTCTCGTTGATAATTTTATCGAAGGAATGGTAATTTGGAAAAAAAATTTGTTCACTGAAAAACGAATTAAACAGATGTTGGGCCAATGTGGTCCTACCTCGTGTGGTCATGTAGTCAACGTCCTACCTCGAGAGAACTGGAGGCAAATTTTTATCTGGTGTGATGACAAACAGCTGGCAATTTTTCGTCTCACATTTCTTGACGTCTCCAACGTGATAAACAACATTTTTCGTTAATTTTTATTACTTTGAATCAAAGTATTTTCTGTTCTGGTTGATTTTGGAACAGTATGTAAGTGATAGCTTATATGGATTTTCATTATGTACAATTGAATCTCTTGTTTGGGTACTCAGACGTTTGCTTCAGCGATCAACGAATGTGAAACCTTATATATTCCTTAGTCTGGTCATGAAGGATAACAATAACAACAATAATGTCATTTTATACAGAACAAACACACAGTGTATAAATACACGTAAAACAACGCATCACACACTTTAGCATGTGATAGGCGTGGATTTCTTTATATTCGAACCCCGACACAGCACCAAAAATACCAGGCATCTTGACCGTTTCACCATCGCACCACCCGATCATAGAAAGATCATTGAAAGTATAACAAAGAATAAACGAAAATTACATAATTAAATTGTAGTTTATCGATAGTTTTCGCTGAACGCAACAATATAGAGAGTGACAGAGTAGATTTACTTTTAAAGTGATACATGACAGTTTTACTAGTAACGTATCATTGAAATTTACTTACCAGCAAAAAATTAACTAAGATAAATAAACATGATTCTAGACAATCATTATGATTAAAACAAATAAAAATTTGTTACCTTGGTTAGTTCAACACGCCATTCTTCTAACATATCCTCATTGGCATATGTAGCTAATTTCGATTTACCATTTCCACCTTGCACTGCTCTTTCACTTTCATCCAACAAGAAGCTTTCATCTACAAATATAGTTTTAAAATATAATCAAAAACATTCTGATAAACATATCCAAATTAAAAAAAACTCGATTAATGAGATAATTGGGATTGGATACATGAAAAAAAGCCAAAAAATGTGAATTGCTTGCATTACATGACATGAGTCACGTTTCTTATAGAAAATAGATAGATGACACCTTAGACTAAGACAGAAAAAAGAATGTCCACTGACCGTAACAGCTTTTGTTATTTTTTCAAGCCAAATACATGATAATTTTATTAAAAAATAAGATATAAGCAAGAAAAAAAAGAAAAACGATCAAAAGTCATAAAATACAACAATAGTGGGAAATATTCGGCTAAACATCTAAATTCAATATTTGTTTTGCAAATTAAAAAACACCAAAAAAATTTACGCTTTAAGTATTTAAAAAATTTAACTATTTTTTAAAAACTATTGAATAGTTAACAAACACAGAACCCAAACCATATCATACTTCACAAATGTTACAAAATGGACAATTTAAATTAAAAATTTGGTTTCCAAAAGTTAATGTGTTAGAAGTGAAAAAGAAGACTGGAAAAGAATGGAACAAAACAAAATAAATGATAAGGTGTGGTGACTTGCATCAAGTACGTATGTGGGTGAAAATATTTTTTTACTAAATTTCTACTTAAGCTTTTTAATTTTTAACTAAAAAAATTCATTTATTCGGCAGAGTAGCAGTATGTCTCTAACGACAAAAATGCATTTTGTGAATTAACTAAAGAAGACACCTTAGTTTGCAATATTATCTACTTATCAAAGGCACTAAGTTGATGTTTAAACTCGGGCTACTGATGAGTCCCATAAGACGCAACGCGTCTAGCCTTTCACGAATGAGGTGTTCACAATAATGCACTTGTGGTCGTGGTGAGAGACGATGCATGATATGTAGACGACCACACCCGCAATGAGCCGGTTGAAAAATCTTCATCCCTATAAGTGAGATTTGAAAGGAGCCATCAAATCTCATTTACATTCAACGCATGCAACTCCAATAACCCGCCAATTTTTTGACAACAAAAAAAATAACTTATCAAAACAACAACGCCATAACCTAAAAATTGCTCTGGATCAACAATTTCTTGTGATGGAACCAAATGGAGCGATCTACAGGACATCCATCCGACCGTCTCCAGCAAACTGCTGCAGCAACCCAGTCCAGCCACGATAACTTTTGTCGGTTTTTCGTCATCGAAGCAATCTAACGCAACCAACCTGTTCCGTTGACTATTTCTAACTGCTCTTTTCTCTCATCACCTTCCTATTCAAACGCACTCCAAGTAAGTGCCAGATGCTCTCAGTGATGCAGCATTTAGTCCGAAGCACCCTTGCCGCGCCATTCTAACACAGGATCCTCCTTACGCAATATAAAAAAAACCTTCCGTTTAAAATGGTCACTAACAATACAATTATTGCTTCCTACAACAATGAACAAACAATGTCAGACTGAAGGCTGCATCCGTCATCCCTCACAGCAAAGCTGCTCGGTCCGCGGTTACACTAAGCTTCGGTGCTACTTAATGGATGGCCGCCGCAAACCTCAAAAAAAGACGAGTCAGTATAAAGTTTGCCTGGAGCAATCAGAAGGACTCTATATTATCCCAACTCCGCTCTACCGCATCTTACATGGCAGCTACAAACCCAGAATCGACAGTGGGCTCACCAACATCTGTCCATCAATATCCTGATGATGTTACACATCTGTTTAGCTGCCCCATCAACCCCACATAACTCAAAATAATAGACATGGCTAAATCCAATCGCAGTGGCAAATTTGGCTCAGCCTCCGTTTTATCCAATGAGCCGATATCCGAGACGCAAGGCAACAACAACGATGACCTAAAAATTGCAGAAGCTATCCTAATCTATTAATAAATCTCAAATAAACATACAACAAAAATTGATTACACCATTAAAAACTCGACGCCTTAATGATAACTCTAATTAAGTTGTTGTGTACAACAACTTACAGAGGGCAACACCCATCAACAATAGTACAATTTTTCGTAATTTTGAAAGCCTATCAACAAAATTCAACACTTTTTCGTCGTCATTCATTATCGCACCAATATAATTTGTTTGCGTTAATTGTTTGATGTTAATTTTGTCTCAATTAATTTAAGTTAAGTTGATTTAATTGTAAATTCTTGTTTAATCGACAAAAGAAGGAATTTAATTTTGTAAACGTTATAGGATAACCTGTATTGTTTTATCAGACTATTAGATATAGTGAGATAATTTACTGTTGAATATGTCGAAAGATAAATGCAACAAATGTAATGTTAAAATCAAAGAAAGTAACAAAGAGTTAATTTGTTGTGGCATATGTGGTGACGGCAACCACATCAAATGTATTCCGACTGATGCTCAATTCTTGACAGCAGTAGTATCCGATCCAAATTTATTTTGGCTCGGCAATAGCTGCGTTAAGGACATTAAAGAAGGCTTTAAAAAGATTTGTGATCTGCAAAAATCCCAAAATGAAATAGTTTTTAACCAAGATAAGCTTAGTGATGAGCTAAGTTCTTTTCGTCGTGAGTTGGCTTTAATTGACGCAAATTTAAGCAAAATGGCCAACAAAATTGTTGAATTTGATAAGTCGGTAACAAATGTAAACACGCAGATTAAAGATGTTGAAGGGGGTTTGAAAAAGAATTGGACTGGAGATGTAAAGGGAACCATCAAAGAAGAAGTTAAATCGACTACGTTGGCTCTGAACAATGTCGTCAAATCAATTAAAAACAATGTCGAAACAATAAACCGTGAGTGCAATGTTGTGTTATTTAGGCTCAGTGAAGCTGAAACTAACTCTGCTGATGCTCGCAATGATGATAAAAAATTGTTATGAATTTGCTTTCAGTCATTACAAATGATGAAATCAAGGAAAGTGATATTAAGAAAATGTACAGAATTGGCAAAAAAGGTGACAACCCACGTCCGATGTTGATTGAGTTTAAAGAAAAGTCTATGAAAAACATGATAATGTAAAATCGTGTGAGGATGAAACAATTGAGTGACGAATTAAAAAATGTAAGCATAAGCCATGACTTCACTAAAAAACAGCGTGAGAAATGTAAAAAACTGGTAGCTGAAGCAAAAGATAAACAGAAACAGGAGTCGGGGGAATTTTTGTATAGGGTGAGGGGAGATCCGTCAAATTTGAGAATAATAAAAATACAAAAATATTCAACAAAAAACTAAAGCATACTAGCTCTGATTGTGCGTCTTTAGTTTTCAACTCTTCTGGTAATGTCAATAAAATTAAGGTGGGTCTGTTAAACATTAGATCTTTGGGTCCAAATGTTGATGATGTTCATGGGCTGCTCAATGATGGCTTGGATGTTTTGATGCTTACAGAAACTTGGCATAAATCCTCTGAAAATATTTGTCTTAGTTTGGCAAAGCCACGTGATTTTAGTTTTTTGGAACAAGTTAGGCTAAATGATCCTGGGCATGGTGGTTTGGTAACGTATTTCAGAAACCACTTTAAATGTGTAAAAATTCCATTGCCAGTGATAATTAAATTTGAAGCGATATATTTTAAATTGACATTACGGAAAACTTCAGCAATTTTTTTGGTGATTTATAGGCCAGGTTCTGCTCCTCCTGCTAAATTATTTTTTGAAGAATTAATTTTAGTTTTAGAACAAATCACACTTTTATGTTGCAGCATTGTAGTTGCAGGTGACTTCAACATACACGTAGAAACTTCGTCAGATATATATGCAACGGCCCTTGCTGATATTTTCTCTAGTTTTGATCTAGTCAATAGAATTAATCAGTCTACCCATGTGCTTGGGGATACCCTGGATTTAATTGTCACATCGGATGGTTTTTTTTTTTAGAAGATATATTGGTGCACCCATCTGGTATCTACTCAGATCATGGTTTAGTAACTGGTCAATTTTTAATCAATCCGACTCCAGTCATTTTCAAGAAATCGTAGATCAGATCCTGGAAATGGGTGGATAAAAAACGTCTGACTGAGCTTTTGAGGTGCTCACCTATCTCGAAACATTATGGACAGGATGATGATGTCGAATTGGGTTTTAAAATATTCAATGAAGAGCTTTTAAAAATTGCTGACGATGTTGCTCCACTTCATGAAGTTCGTTGGAAACATGTCCCGACTGCCCCATGGTTTGACAGTGACTGCAAAAAGGCTAAGCAAATGTGTCGAAAAAAAGAAAGAAGGTTCAGAACTACTGGTTGTATAATGATAAAGTTGATTGGGTACTGGCAATGAAACAAAAGAATGTTTGTTACTCAGTGAAACGAAGGAGTTTTTGGTTCGCGAAAACATGTCAATTTAAAAAGAATTCCAAATACTTATGGCAAACGATTAATAAATTATTAGGAAAAGAGACAAGTGTTGAAAATGAAGTTGGTTAGATGCATAGCGCCGATGATTTTAAAAAAGTGACAAGTTGAAAGTGACCGAAAAGTCAACTGAATGTTTTAATTTTTGAAGTCCCTTCTTCAAATTTGCACTACCGAAGCACCATTCCACAGCCCCACAGGCAAACTTTACAAGCAAATCGATGGTGTCGCTATGGGTTCCCCCCTTGGCGTCCTATTTGCAAGTTTTTACTTAGGACATCTGGAGAATGAGACCTTCAAAAAAAATGCAAATTTAAAACCAAATATCTACACTAGATACGTTGATGATATCTTTGTCTCTTTTAACGATCCTGAACAAATCACCCAACTTCTTGGTACCTTAAACAAATCAAAACTAAGATTTACCATTGAAATTGAAAAAGAACAACGTTTACCTTTCCTTGATGTGTTGGTCACCCGTGGCGAAGAACGATTCAAGACTGCGGTCTATGTCAAAGAAACAAATACAGGAATTTGTTTGAATGGACAAAGTGAATGTACCGAACAATTTAAAAACAGCACAATAAAATCATTTGTAAACCGGGCATTCACACACTCTTCCAATATTGAAAATCGCGACGCCGAATTAAAAAGTCACTAACCTGCTTGTAAACAATGGATATAAGACTTATTCTATTGAAAAGATTGTTAAAGGCAAATTACTACACAACAATAACCTTCCTAGTACCAACAATCAAGATAACGACGTCATCTTGTATTACAGAAATCACATGTCAACTGCATACAAAGTAGATGAAGCTATTCTTAAACGTATCATCAATAAAAATGTCACACCAACCAACCCAAATAATAAAGTTAAACTCCGAATATATTACAACAATAAAAAGACGTCTCACCTAATACTGAAAAACAACTGTAGTCCTAGAGATAACTCTGTGCTAAGGCGTAATCACGTAATATATGAATTTAATTGCCCCTTTGACGGCTGTACATGTCAACGTGACTCATATATCGGGATTACTACTACCTCATTGACTAGAAGGCTTACGATGCATAAACAGAGTGGTACTATCAAATCTCATTTGGACTCAACACACTCAATCACTATTAGCCGTGAAATCCTAGACAGTAACACCAAAGTAATATACTAGAACAGCAACTACACGCATCTTAAAATTGCAGAAGCAGTCCTAATTGACATCAATAAACCAAAAATAAATATACAACAAAAAATGACAACCTCACTTCCAACCCGGCGCATAACCAGCAACGAAACCAAGAAGTAATAAAAACTAGCATTGTAAATAGTGACAAAGAAGAATATGATGCTATCGATGAAGAAAAGGAGACCAAAGAAGATGACCAGCCAATAAAGAAACCTGACACCTAATTTCCATCTAAGTTCACTTTGACAAAGTCAATCTTCATCAAAGTTCATTTTGACAAAGTCAATATTTCCCTATATAAACAGCAAAAAGCACTGATGATGATTCATTAAGAATCGAAATATGGCCTTATTTGCAGCATGAATTCGGAAAATAAGTTTATTTTGACTTTTAATAAACTAAACGTTCACCAAAAAACTTTAGTGAAAAAAATTGAAAAAACGAACTACAAACATATTAACACCAAACATTCGGTAGAATTTATAGAATATTGTAAAAAATATATGTATATATATATATGTAATGAAGGATTTCCACTTCATTATGAATTGAGTTATGGTGTATAACGTTATTGTGTAAATTGTGAAACGTTTGACACATTAAATTTAAGTTTTTGTTTGAGTTGAAATTATTTGGATATTTTGAATATTTCTTAAGTTTTACGTTTGACAGATTAAATTTAACTTTTTGTTTGAGTTGAAATTATTTGGATATTTTGAATATTTCTTCTAGGTCTTAGTTAATATTGGTTATTATATATAATAGCTTTAATTGTTGTTTCTCTTTTTCAGAGCAACACAATTTAGTTGTTATATGCCGAACTCTATTATAAAACAACAATTCTACAGCTATTGAACCATGGACAAATTGAAATTTGAATTCATTGTAAAATCGAACGAAGATCCAAAAACAAATGTAATATGCATAACCTCAATTACGGATATGAACAACCGCATATTTGCAATTCCGGATAAACTTCAGCCGGTAAAATTTCATGAAGACAATTATGAAGACTGAAACTTTTCTGAAAGTAAAAACTACATTACAAAGAAGACATGAAAAAAGACAAGTATGGATTTCATTAACACCAAAAATAAGAAATGTTTATATAGATGAAAATGGAAATATGCAGTTAAATGAGTATTTACTAGAGGAAATTACTGCGGAAACACCGAAACTGACAGATACGACTGGAATTTCTGAAGAAACACTGTCAAAAATATTGGAGAATTTTACAGAAACGACCAAGGAAATAAATAAACCTCAACATATAGGAAACCTAACGAGAACATTTGTAATGGATAAATTTTCAAGAAAAACATCAAATGTTTCTCAATGGATGAATATTTTTGAAACAGAATGTGCTCGTTTAGAAATAAATGAAGATACAAAAAAATTGAGGCTCTGAGGAGGTTATTTTTAGAGGAAACGTGCATGGACTGGTACAGTTCTATGCTAATAAAGTATAGTGTAAATTCAGATTGGTGGATGTGGAAAAAAAACTTTTGTGAAACCTATGCTGACAAAGGTTGGTCGCCAGTCCGGTACGCAATTTTATTTAAACACAAACAAGACTCATCATTATTAGCATATGCACAAAAAAAAAGATTATTATTAGAATTAAATAAACCAATGGATAAACAAACCCTCATTGATTTAATCGCTACCATATTTTATAGCGGATAAAATAGATAGAGATAATTTAAAAGAAACAGAAGATTTATTTAATAATATTCGAGGTTTAGAGCATTTAGTAAAAAAAAAATTTTGAAAAAAAGATTATCAGTTTTGAAAGCAACATTAAGGAGAAACATGACACAGACCGGCGGCCATGCAGAATTTGTGAAAAAGAAGAAAAAAGAACTCGCTGTCATCCAGAATCACGGTGTTGGTTCAAAAACAAAAACAGTGATCGACCACTAAGAGACCACATTAAAAGCAATAACAATTCTGAATTAGAAATCCAGTTAAATGAAACTAGTCCAAAAAACTTGTAATTCCACCATTAATCAAAATAAAATTGACAATAAATGATACTTTAGAAACTTTAGGAATTTATGACTCAGGATCAAATGTATCTTTAATAAATTCAAAATTATTGTCAATAAATTCAAAATTAACGAATAATAAAACACGAAAATTTAAATTAATTTAATTAAATTTAATTTAATTAATGGTGTGAAAAAATCTATTGGAATAATGACTTTAAAGAAAAAAATTTTTAAAATTGAAAAATATATTAATGTTTTTGTTATAGATAAAAAAAATTTTGATTACGATTTTTTAATTGGATTAGATTGTATAAGAGCATTTCAATTATGTCAAAATGAAAAATTAGAAATCAGACAAACAATTCAAGATTTCAAGAAAGATGGAAGTAAAAATAAAATAAATTTCAATGAACATATAAAAACGACATGCTTCAACATCTCAGTAAACCATCTAAACTTTCAGCAACAATCTGAAATTAATAAAATAATTTCAAAATATAAAACACTTTTTGCTAAAGATAAGTACGACATAGGCACGGTGAAAGGATATGACGCCCATATTGATTTACAAGTAGATAAATATTGTAGTAAACGACCATACAGGTGTAGTATTGAAAATAAAAAAGAAATAGAACAGCAAGTATCAAAATTATTACAGAAAAATTTGATTGAAGAGTCTTATAGTTCTTTTGCAGCTCCAGTAACATTGGCTTATAAAAAAGAAGGACGAAAATGTAGATTATGCATAGATTTTCGTGACCTAAATAAAATCGTAGTTCCTCAATCACATCCGTTTCCGCTAACCGAAGATTTAATGGTAAAAAAAAAGGAACTGTAAATATTTTTCAACATTGGATATAAACTCTGCATTCTGGCCAATCCCTTTAAAAATTGAAGACAGAAAAAAAACTGCATTCGTTACTCATTTCCAATGGACCTGCTTACCATTTGGTTTAAAAACATCTCCAGCAATTTTTCAGAGAGTATTGAGTAGTATCATTAGAAAACACGGACTATCAGACTTCACTGTTAATTACATAGATGATATTTTAATATTTTCTGAATCATTTACAGAACATATGAAACACTTATCCTTGCTATTGGATGCGATTCTGAAAGAAGGATTCAGATTAAAATTTTCTAAATGTAACTTTGCCCAAGACTCAGTTAAATATTTGGGTCATATAATAAAAAATAACACAGTAACTCCATTGAAAGATAATTTAATTGCAATAAAAAATTTTCATGTCCCCAAAACACGTTAAAATGTTCGACAGTTCTTGGGTAAAATTAATTTTTATGGAAAATATGTGGCTAATTTATCAATTATATTAGAGCCACTGTATAAATTGTTAAGAAAAGATGAACAGTTTATTTGGTCGAAAAAATGTCAAGAATCATTTGATAACATAAAAAATCTACTTTGTAAGAGCCCCATTTTAAATATCTTTGATCCAGACAAACCAATACACATTTATACAGACGCTAGTATACCGGGTATAGGTGCTGTCCTGAAGCAACCACAATATAATGTAGAAGAAAAGCCTTGTGCATATTTCTCAAGGAAATTAAATGATAAAAAAAAAAGCCATTCATTTGGAGTGCTTAGCTATAAAAGAAGCAGTAAAATATTGTCAACATTGGCTCATGGGAAAAAAATTCACGGTTTTCTCTGATCATAAACCCTTAGAAAAATTGAATATTAAAGCTAGACCAGATGAAAAACTAGGTGATCTCACGTATTATTTGTCACAATTTGATTTTGAAGTAGGTAAGGCGACAGGGGTTTCGGAAGTGGCGGCTGAACATATTAAAGCGAGTGGGGTGATAGGAATTGAAGTTATGATGAGAATTGCTAACAGTATGTTTGATGATGAAGGTATACCTGAGGATTGGCGACACAGTGTGCTGGTGCCGTTGTATAAGGGCAAAGGAGATGTGAGAGATTGTGGGTCATACAGGGGTGTGAAATTACTAGAGCACGGAATGAAGGTAGTGGAGAGGGTGCTTGAGAGGAGGTTGAGAAGTATGGTGACAGTTAATGAAATGCAGTGTGGGTTTATGCCTGGTAGGGGAACGGTGGATGCGTTGTTCATGGCGAGAATGTTGCAGGAGAATTATAGAAAGAAGAAACGAAGATTGTACATGTGTTTTGTGGATCTAGAAAAGGCTTTTGATCGAGTACCGAGGAAGGTCATTGAATGGGCGTTGAGGAAGAAAGGAGTGAATGA